GTATATCTAAATGTACCGATAAAAAAATTTTTTAAGTGGGTCACCAATTAAAAAAAAAAAGTTTAAACAAAGCTGGGTATGGTGGCACACATCCATAATCCCAGTACTCAGGAGGCTGAAGTACTCAGAAGATTACCACTGAAGCCAGCCTAGATTACACAGGGAGTTCAAGGCCAGCCTGAACACAGGTAGTAAGACCCTTGGTCCTTAAAAAATAAAGCAGAGAAGGCCTGAGGATTTAGCTCAGTGGCACTGAGCCTGCCTTGCAAGCACAAGGTTCTGAGTTAGTTACCTGGTACCAAAAAGAAAAAAGCACAGCAAAAAAAGAAGTCTAAATATAAACAACAAGTCCAATCTGAGTTAATACACCTAACAGAAATGAAAACATATAAACCTGGCATGGTGATGCATGCCTGTAATCCTAGCACTTGGCAGGCTGAGGCAGGAGGATCGCTGTGAGTTCAAGACCAGCCTGGGCTACATAGTGAGTTCCAGGTCACTCTCAACTACATAGTGAGACCCTGTCTCAAAACACCAAAAAAAGAAGAAAAAAAAAAAAAGAAAGAAAGAAAGAAAGAAAAGAAAAATAAAACATACAGTCACACAAAAACTTGTACACAGAGCATTCCTCATAATAGTGGAAACAATCCAAATATGTATCCTGGGAGAATGGGTAAATAAAAGTGTTATATCCATATCATGGAATGTTATTTGGCAATAAAAACAAAATACTGACATACTGCAACATGAATAAGTTTTGAAAACACTATGCCAAGTGAAAGAAGACAGAAAAAAAATCCCATGTGATGCAGGGTGTGGTGCTGCACGCCTGTAATCCCAGCACTGGAGAGGCTGAGGCAGGAGGATCGCTGTGAGTTCGAGACCAGCCTGGGCTACACAGTGAGTTCCAGGTCAGTCTCGACTACATAGTTAAAAAAAAAAAAAAAAAAAAAAAAAAAAATGAAATATCTAGTACAGGCCAAAACACAGGCCAGGAAGGTAGATCAGGGGTCGCCTGCAGCTGGGGGATGGAAGGTTTGGGAGACAAAGGTTAGAGAGAATGGCATTTCTCTGATGTGATGAAAATATTCTCAAACTGACTGTGGTGATAGGTACACAATTGTTCAAATGCACTAAAAATCACGTTACACAGTTTCTACGAATAAATTTATAGCATATAAATCACACCTCAACAAAAGTATTTAAAAATTGAACTTAAAACTAAAACTTCTATGAGATTTGCATTCTTGGGTTAGATTTCTTAGAACATAAAAAGTATTATCCATTAAACTTAAAAATTGCTAACTTGGACCCTATTAAAGTTTCTAACTTCTGTTCTTTGCAAAATACTATTTTAAAAAATGATAATGCAAGACAAAGACCAGGAGAAATATTTACAAAACACCTCTATCTGATTAAGGACTTATATCCAGAATGTATATAAAAAAAAACCTTACAACAAAATGATAAGGCAGTCTCATTTCTTTTTTTCTTTTTTTTTTTTCCTTTTTTGCTGCAAAAGGCTTTATTTTCTTTTGGTCCAAGACTTGGGAGGGGGCTCCAGAGGTGAAAATGCTGGAGGGAGAGGGTCCAGCCAGAGCCCTGATGCAGGGAAAGCACCAGCCCAGCCTGGGGGCCGCAGCCGGCAGAGGTTACTGAAGGGGTCACCTATTGTGATGAGCTTCACCTCCTCATCTAGAAGGGAAATCACTGAGAAGCGGGTCTGTCTTGGCAGAGCCCAAGGCATGAAGATCCAGAAGAGCTTGGTTCCGGTCGTTCCCCGGGGCCAGAGCAGCTTCCATGGCGTCCAGGGCTTCACCCCACTCCTTTTCAGAAGGTTTCTGCACGTCTTGGAAGGGCACTCGGCCTCCGTGCTGGAGATGCTCGGTGCCCTCCTGTTTCTCCGTGGCCAGCTCCAGAAGAAATGGCCCAGAGAGAGGTTGGTGTAGGAGAAGTCACGGCTGGTCAGCAATAAGGAGCTACCCACGAAGAATGGTGTTGGCCGGTCCTGGAAGCAGGAGACTGGCAAGGTGATGGTCCCGAAGTTTGTAACTGGAAGGTGGGTGGAAGATGAAAAAAAGGGAGTCCCTGCGTCTGTTCCATCCAAACACTGTTGATGCAAGAGACAGATCCATAGGACCTCTGGACATGCCGCTCCAAAAATTTTTTTAAATTGAGATCCTGGAAGAAATTGTACTTTTTTTTTTTTTTTTTGAGACAGGGTCTCACTATGTAATTGAGACTGAACTGGAACTCACTATGTATCCCAGGCTGGTCTCGAACTCACAGAGATCCTCCTGCCTCAGCCTCCTGAGTGCTGGGATTACAGGCATGTGCCACCACGCCCGGGCAAGAAATTGTACTTGTTATTTGATGTCTACTGATTTTATTTAGTTTTGGTTGTTTCTGGGCTTTTTTGGTACCAGGAATAAAACTTGGGACCTTGCACTTGCGGGGCAGGCGGCAGAACCACTGAGCTAAATCCCAGGCCCCCAATTTCTTAAAAGGGGAGAAAAGGTGAACAGATACTTCACAATCAAGACAGATGATGCCATCAAGCATAGGCAAATTAGTTCATACCATGAGTCACCGGGTAATTCCAAATGAAAGCAAAGTGAGATATCACTACACCCACAGGAACAGAAAGAACTAAAACACTGCAGACTAGAGATGTAGCTTAGTGGTAATGTGTGTGCTTAGAGTGTCTGAGGCCTTGGGTTTAATCCCTAGGGTGGAAAAAAAAAAATGGCCAGTCTGAGCTACAGAGTGAATTCAAGGCCAGCCTCAACTGCGTAGTGAGACACTGTCTCAACCAACAAAACAAAACCAGCAACAAAGACTGAAAATACCAAGTGTCCAAGAGACTACAGAACAAATGGAACTCCACCGCAAATGAGAACGAAAAACGGTACAGCTACTTGGGAAACAGCTTGGCGGTTTCTTATGAAGTTAAACTTACACTTCCTGTAAGTACCTGCAAGTCTACTTTTTGGTATGTATTCTAGAGCAATGAAAACGCACATCTACATAAAGACCTGCACACTGACGTTATGTCACGGCAGGTCAGTCATAACAGCCCCAAACTGGAAACAACTCAAATGTGCATCAATACAGAGGAGACAGCTGGGTGAGGCGGCTGGAATCCCAGCACTGGGTGACTGAGGCAGGAGGATCACCACAAATTCATGGCCATCCTGAACAACACAGGGAAATCTTGTCTCAAGAAAAGAAAAGAAAAACAAGAAAAAAAGCTCCAGTGCACTATTCCTCAGCAATTAAAAAAGAACAAGTCATTAATATATGCAAGACTATGTCAATCTTACAAGGACTATACTAACTGAACAAAGACAGAGGAGAGCACACATCGTATGATTTATTTGACATTACAAAAAAAGCAAAATAGAGTGTCAGAAAGCAGATCAGTGATTCACTGGGGCACTAGAAGGAAGAGAAGACTAATTGAAAAGGAGGTATGAGAGAATTTTTGAGGGATGACAAAACGCTCTATATCCACTGTGGTAGTAGTAGTGATTATAAAACTGTACATTTTTCAAAACTCATAAAACTGAACACTTAACTGGATGAATGTTAACAAAGATAAGTTATGTTCAGTAAGGATGACTTTGTAAAGAGAACTGAGGTCTTAGGTAATCTCCAGAAGGGCCCAACATCCACATCTGCTCTACTTTTGGGACCTGATCCTAATTTGAACTTCTTATCTACCTTATGAGTCAAAGGTATCCTTTCTGATTCATAAAACCTTACCTTTTGTGTGTACTTCTAAGAGCACAGACCATGCTGACACAGACCCTATGTGCTATCATCTCCAGCTAAACTTACAGACATAAACAAGAGCTGATCTCTCTGTAATTTTTCTAGCTTCATTGCTGTTCTTATCCCCCCAGTTTAAAAAAAAAACTGCCATAAATGTTTAGTAGCTCATTCCTACACAGGAGACAAATCCAAGTCTCAGACATCAATAGGTCGACTCTCCCCCTCCAGTACTGGGGACAAACAAAGCCTTTGCACTAAGCTACATTCCAAGCTCTTTTTATATTTTTTTGCTTTGAGATAGGATCTCACTAAGTCACTGAGTTGCCCAGGCTGGGCTCCAACTTGTGACCCTCCTGCCTCAGCCCCCTAGAGTACTGGGGCTCAGAGGTATGCACCACCATGCCTGGCAGCAGGCAGCTTTAGACACGTGCAGCCTGTTTGCCAACATCTAACAGAACCTCCTGAATATTTTTACAAAGCATAAACAAAATGAACATTTCACATTATATTAACACTTGCAAAATAATGAAAGGAAAATAAAGCAAACTGCAGCCAGAAGAAAAATATGTAGACTGGTATATCACTGGCAATTATGTTTTGAACAACAAACAGCAGCATTCAGGAATTCAAGATGGGCTTTCTTACATATCTACAATAGTGACAAATTGGAAATGTGTAAAAAACTTATAGAAATTGCATTCAGAGTACACTTGGGGAAAACCAAAAATTAATCACTCACATACACACACACACACACACACACAGAGATATCTTCAAAGGAATGAAAAAGAACAAAATATGGACAGGAGTGTAGGAAGGCATTGATTCTAAAATGGACAAGCCTCCGTGTTACCCAAATATTTTGGAAGACTGCAGCTTTTAAAATCAATCTCGTCTTACAGCTCCAAAGAGTCAACAATGAGGCCACTGGCAGCAAAGAGACACGGTAACCATAAAAGAACAAACAAGCAAGCAAGCAAAACAAAATCACACGTGTGAATAAAAAAGCTGACCTGTCAAGAAATAAAAACAGAACTGGACCTAAGTAGAAACAGATTCGTCATCACTAGCACAGTTCACCCGCTGCGACAGCTCAGGGTCCGTGCAAGCACCCTCTTGTACATAAGCTGACCTCACAGCAGCCTTTCGTGCTACTGCTCCAACATAGCAGAGGAGACGGGGAACGAGAGCTACAGGTCTGAGGATCGCGTTGGGCTGACACTCACCACAAATTTCTCACCATTCTGCTCCACATGTTTGTATGTGGGGACCGATATGGGCACTGCTTGCTTTTCTGTGTAATCATAAAAAGATTGTCCCAACGAGTCGTCACTGGGGTCTAGGTTATCTGCCTCGTGAGGAGGTACAGATAACACTGTCAAGATCAATTCCTTCTCGCCTGCTCGGATCAGGTCCACCACCTGCTTGTGTGTCGCCCCCTCAACATTCACGCCGTTCCTAAGGGGAAAAAGGGAAAAAGACAATCCCATAAACCAGAAGGGTCCAAACACTTTGTATCTCCACCCGCCTGCCCCCAACCGGTGTCACACAATATGAACCATAAAATCCAAAGATTCATGTGGTCCAGAAAATTTGTTTATGTCTTTAGATTCTAAAATGAAGGGCTGTTTGTGAACTTTAAGGCAGGGGAGGAAAAATGGAAAACAGGTGAGAGAGAGGACCTACTCTTCCTCTATGCTAGAATCCGACACATAATTTCAGGAAAGCACAGGGAAAACAGGTGAAGCCGAGGAGGAAACAAAGCTTTTGGAGCTAACTAGTTCAGTTTCTCCAGCCTAGCTTAGCGTGTATACAGTACAATCAAAGCGGCTTTTGACAATCTTGGCGTTTCAACTGTACTCTTTATCCTTTTACAGCTCATGGGAATTTTGTTAAAAAGAAACCTCACACTGGGCTTGGTGGTGCAAGTCTGTAATCTCAGAACTCTAGAAAGCTGAGAGGAAGATCACAAGTTCAAGCCCAGCCTGACCAATTTAGCGAGACTCTCTCAAAAACTAAAAGCAAAGCTTGGGGATGCAGCTCAGCACGAAGGCCCTGGGTTCAAGCCCTAGCACTACAAAACAACAAAATAATCCTTCACAAAATGCATCCCCTTAACTTGTAAACAGAGACCAAAAAAAAAAAAAAAAAAGACTCCACATACTTCCTTTACATTTTTAAAAACTAATTTCTCCCCATATCTTCAAGCCAGTCAGTTTAATTTTTCCTTTATACCAAGTTTTATTATCTTGGGAGTTAAACAATGTTCATTTCCTTACACACAAGTTTTCCCTATTACTTGATTTTTAAAAAGCCAAGATTATCTCTAAACATTTCAATACCTGAACCCAACTTCCTTCGTCCTCTCAATCATGAAATTAATTTCTCAGGATTCTCTATTTCATGTAAAGCCCTATTTAATCTGTCCAAACTAAAAATACACACCTAAGTTTATGTAGTAAATCATCACATTCATTCTCCTTCCTGTTTCACTGTGCAAAAAGCTGGAATAAGGAAAAGTACAAGGTGTGGAAGAACAATAATTTTGTCAAGAAAGATGCTGAGTCTTACAAAATTCACTCAGCAAGCCGGGCGTGGTGGCGCACACCTGTGATCCCAGCACTCGGGAGGCTGAGGCAGGAGGATCGCTGTGAGTTCCAGACCAGTCTGGGCTGCATACTGAGCTCCAGGTCAGTCTCAACTACATAGTGAGACCCTGCTTCAAAAAAAAAATATATATAGCTCAAAAAAAAAAAAAAAAAAAAAAAAAAAAAAAAAAAAAATTAACTTGGCAACTGAGTCCCCTTTCCAGAATGATGCCCCAGCCCAGTGTCTCAGCAAAAACCACCGGGCAGCCGGCCTGAAGGTTCCCTACCATGGCTATGCCCGAGAAAGAGAAGAAATATACACCTGGCCCCTCATCCATTTAATATTTAAAGCTTATCTACTCTTTAGAGTTAAATTCTGTTTCAGTTCTGTTCCAAACCAGTAGGGCTTTCCTTCCTGAACACACTGCTAAGTTTAGTAACAAGCCTTCTACACACTTTCAGTCAGTGGAACTGTCTCTGTCAGAGTCTGGTATCCGAAACATCCATTTATATAAACAGACAAGACATTATTAAGCTAGCCTCCTTTATTTTGGATTTAACAATCCAGGCAGTAAATTCAGCATTCTTGACATTTCACAACCTAAACTACACACAAACCTAACTTACACACACACACGCAAAAAAAATCAGTAATTTGACACACACATAAACTCTGGACTGTAGGAGAAAATAAAAGCCCTTTTCATTGATGGAAATTTGGTCTTTTTATTCAGACAAAGTCAGAATAGAGATTTTAAAAAACATGATCAACTCTAATCACAAACCAAAATACTAAAATGGAAAGAAAATAGGCTTTGAAGCTAGATCTATGTGAGTTCAAATCCTGACCCTGCCTGTCAGTGCACTGATGGAATTAGCAGTGCTTAACCTTTCTTAGCTTTGCTTTCCACCCTGTGAGATGGGGACAATAATAAGTCCCTAACAGAGCTGTTGTGAGAATTAAAAAAAGAAAATAATACAACATGTAGCTGGCCTTGAATCATGCCTGAGTATTTCATCAGAAGACAGAAAAAGGAAAGAGATACTATGGGTGCTGGGGATGTAGTTCAACGGCAGAGCGCTTGTCCAGCAAACACAAGTCTTCGGGTTCAATCTCCACTATGAACGGGGTTAAAAACTAAACAAAATAAAACAAAAAAACACTGAAAATGGGCCAGAAGCCGGGGATTTAGCTCAGTGGTTCTATCGCCTGCCTCACAAGCACAAGGTCAAGTTCAATCCCCAGTGCCAGACGGGGCGGGGGGGGATTTACCTCAGTGGTGCCACTGCCTGGCGCAAGGTCCTGAGTTGACCAAGGTACCAAAATAATAATTTTTTTAAATTTAAGAAATATAATGTATGAAGAGATTGTTGTTAAAGAAATGAAAACCTAAAGTTAGGAATTGGCAAAGGATTTTATCTAATTCTTTGGCCTCAGCAGTTCTGAGAAAATACACTGACTACAGAAGAAACAAATTGAAAAATCAAAGGGTAGAAATCCTCAGAGAATTCATCTATGCCTAAGAACCTCAGAGCTTACAAATATCCATGTTAGGGCCAGGTGGGTTGGCACACACCTGGAATCCCAGCACTCAGGAGGCTGAGGCAGGAGGATCGCTGTGAGTTCCAGACCAGCCTGGGCTACACAGTGAGTTCCAGATCAGTCTCAACTACATAGAGAGACCCTGTCTCAAAAAACAAATATCCATGTTAGTCCACGGCCATACCACCCTGAAGGCACCTGATCTCAGAAGCTAAGCAGAGTTGGGCCTGGTTAGTATTTGAAATATCCATGTTAGTCTTTTTTAATTAAATGAGGGAGAATGACACCTTAAAGACTGAACAAAAATATCCTGGATATAGATTTTTGGCTAATGCAATTAACTTAATGAGGTACACATTTGTGAAAAAAGTGACACTCAAATTTCACTTTTCAGCCCAATTTTTTTCCTTGAAAATTTTAATCTGGGTTCGTTTGGCACCAGAAAGTGTAATAGCTACTGCTTTGAAAACATATTTCCATTCTGTTTTTAAATCAAAATGCACTGCTCCTTCTGTTGCTCACAAAAATAAGCACTGAAAGTCATCAAAGAAACTTAAGTGAGACTTATACTAAGAGCAGCCCGGGAGGAAAGGATCTTCCTTAGGTTTCCCTTCTCTATTAATAAGAAAGCCACCTGGCTGACACCCCCAAAGCCTCATTTAAAAGGTTAGTTACTTAGCAAGATCCTGTCCCAAAATTAATAAAAAGGAGGGCCAGAGATTTAGCCCAGTGGCACCGCGCCTGCCTTGCAAGTGCAAGATCCTGAGTTTGATCCCTGGTACAGGGAAAAAAATAAAAGTTAATAAAAAGGGCCTGGGGATACAGACCAACACTAAAGCCCTGGGTTCAATCCCCAGCACTGCGATTGATTGATAGATAAGTAGAACAATCTTCACAGTCATAAAAATGTTAGTTATACAAATGTACGTGTTATATTCTTTTTTACAAGAATGCCATTAAACTACACTCAACTTAGGTGTGGGCCCCGAATCTATATAATTATGAAGACATAAGTAAATGCAAAATATAAATTCTGCAATAAGGGAGAGTTTTCAGCAGTACAGAATTCTGATTCGAAGCATAGTCAGACACACTTGGGAGTCAGAAACATCTGAGTTTGAATACTAATTGTGCTATCTAACAGATAACTTAGGTAAATCAATCTCACTAAACCTCAATTTCCTAATCCACATGAAACATGGCTAATACTACCGATAGATAATGGACTATGAGAACTACAATGAGATGAAGCTTGAAAACAGGATAACTATTCAATAAATGACAGCTATTTGTACTAAGTACTTTTATCAGCTGGACAAGCAGGCTAGGAGTTTTTGGTCTTCCTGGCCATCAATCTTTCCTTTTGCTTTTGTAACATAATCGAGTTGGAATTTATTCCAAAGTAAATGATTAAGCTCGCAACCAGATAATAGGGATCACAACAGTCATCAACGCCCCCACGACCACTGCGTTTAGAGAACAGTAAGCCCCACAAACCACATGAAGTACCTGCTGCATACCCAGTAGGCTCTACCACACTGTGTTTCACACACACACAGAGCAAGAATTTAAACACACTATCAGAAAAGTTCAAAGGATATGTAAGAAAATGCAGTTACAAATTACAGAATCAAGATGTTAAGTATATGGACACTCACCACACAATTCTTTCAACTTTTCCATATTTGGAATTTTATTAAAAAAATACTGAGGGACAAGAAGGCTGCCGAAAATTCCAGCAATCCACAGATAAGAGCAAATTTTGTTTGTCTATGCATTTAAGTGGTACGCCAACTACATTATGTTTTCAGCATTTTAAAGATACACCTGAGTTTGAAGGTGGGGAGGAGAGGAAGGGGTGAAGGGAGGGTGGGGACAAGGGGAAAAAATGAGAACCACGACCTGGCATGTAAAGGTACAAGAGCCCAGTAATGAATGCAACTGTACTGTCTACCTAGAATGTACCAATAAATTCAATTTAAAATAAAAACAAAGAAAAATAAAGATACACTTGATAATTTTAATAAAATTTTCCAACATTTGGCTCCAATGGAGGAGCTTTTGGCTAGTAATAGGAGTGGCTTTAAGTAAGACTATAAAACCACATTCAGCCAGCTGAGAAAGCTGCAGAGCTAATACAGTGAATCCTTGACTTACAAGCTCAATCAGTTCCCAGGGGAGGGTTGGTTATAAGTCAATACAGCTGAGAGCTGAATGTTTACCTGGGCACACGCTATTGATAAAAGAGACAGCACTTCCATTAACTAATTAACCCAAGTTGTCCGTATGTCAGACCGGTCATAACTTGAGGGTCCACTATATAATCACTCTCAGAAGCAGGAGAAAAAGCTCTACTAAATATGTAGGCTTTGTA